CTTTGCAGTCAGGCAAATAAGATCATGTTAATTGACTGGCTATTATCTACATTTTTGAAGCAGATGTGACAAATTAATTGATTTTCTTTCTTTTATATTTCTTTTATATTTCAACTTCTTTTCAAACTATTTAGATAGAAGGGTTTCTTTTAATTAAAACAGTTTGTCAGTCTTGTAAATTAGGTATCAATTAGTTTATGTATGTTTCTGATAAAATGCAAAAAAAAAACAACAATGAACAAATTACTACTAGGCTGTCATAGAATCTGAACTATCTATACATGTTTACTACGTTAATATTTAAGAATAAATGCTTTAAAGTCAATATTTACGATACGATCTTTTTGTCAGCAAAATATTTTTATCCTTACTATACTTTTTCATACTTAAATGTTTAATTCATGGGGGAGGAACTGTTACATGTAGGATGGAGTTCTTGTGATAACTGTCACATAGTTCTTCGGAAAACTTTTGTACAAACTAATGCGTGTATCTATAAACTCTAATTGTGATAATGTGAACTTCAAAATGGTAGTTCGACCTTGACCTTTGAGGTAGAGACGTGATTATTGGACGCGACACATCGTCTTGATGTGGTACACATTTATGCCAAGTTATTCTAAAACCCTTCGATGCATGATTATGTTACAATCCGGACAAAAATGTGTGTACCTATGAACTCTTATTGTGATGAAGTGAAACTTCAAAATGTGTAACCTTGAGCTTTGAGGTAAGGACGTAATCCTTGGACGCGACACATCGTCTTGATGTGGTAGACATTTATACTTAGTTATTTTAAAATCATTTAATGCATGACAAAGTTACAGTCCGGACACGATTGTGTGTACCTATAAATTCTAATTGCAATAATGTGATATATGATAAACAAGATAAACAAGGAAAGGCGGCGTTTAATGAACGCATTCCCCATCCGACCCAGCAACAAGAACCGGTGGCAAAGAGCCCAGGCAGACCCAAAACAAAAACAGGACAGGGCACAAGACAGGCCAATCACTAAAATGATATTTTGTAACTGATAGAGAATTAAAGAAAACAAATAAATAATTGAATAATAGGTCCATAAAGTCAAAGGGCACGGGGAAAGGGACAGGAAACCCAGGGAAGGGGGTGTAACTAAAGAAATAAAAACTAGGGGGCAAACGTGAATATACTTACCGTAGACGACAAAAACAACAAGGAACACAAGCAAACGTGTCACCAAAACAATATGAAACAACATAGACATACATCTGAGGAACACAAGGGGCGCCGCCTTGGAACGATCAGCAGCAAAATGATAGTTTGACCTTGACCTTTGAAGTAGGGATGTGGTTCTTGGACGCAACACATCGTCTTGATGTGGTAGATATTTGTGCCAAAATATTTCAAATTCCCTCAATGCATGACAAAGTAAAAGTCCGGACACGAATGAAGTGGGGACGCACAGACAGACAGACAAAAATGGGTATGGTTTAATGCCCGACAATACACTGTCAAAATAATAATGCTAATAGAACATGCTTTACTTTTTAATGTTAAATAGTAATGTTTTGCCATTTTGACAATTATCAACAATAAATTGTGTAAACGATGTCGCTAGCATAGTCATCTTTTGGTATAACACTTTTATTGCAGATATTTTTTGCAGATATTTTTTTTTGAAATCTACGAAATTCATACTGAACATTTTAATTTGAGTAAGAGAATAAAAAGCTGCACTTCCCATTACTGGTCAAGTTAATTTGGTCCTTCATAAAATTACGCCATTTTAAAGACACTATGTACGTATACTGTGTTTATATATAGTGTATGAAGTAAAAGATTACTAAATCTTGTAACTGTGTACTCTAAAGATGTTTATTTAATATTTAAAAAGAGGCTGAAAAACAAAAACAAGTATTTTCAAATTTCAGTATATTAATTTTTTAATGAAATAAGAAAAACATCATTTCATGTAGTGAGATCGAATATCCATTTTACAATTTTTGCTGGAAGAACATTATAAGAATTCCTTATTTATCCATACAATATATTTGTTTTCAAAACAGATAAAAATGCCATGATACAATTGTTCAGCAGATATAATTGAACGAAAAAGCAAGTTGGTGAACATTATATTTAATGGTTTGGGTGTTATAAGACGCCGCTTGCAAGCGGCGTCTAGTAGATATGCATTTGTCCATACAGCAATGGGGGAAATTTGAGACTTGATTTTGTGTTTCTTTTTTGTTTTAACAAAACCACACTGTTTTTAAATTTTCTAATAAAAATAACTTGCATGATGTACAACATGTCACAGAGCTTTAAGGGATTAGAGTAAACGTTTAACTGAAGTGATAGTGCAATGTTTGAATATCATATTCTTTTTATCATTATCTAATTTTATCTACATAATAAATAACGTGCCAATGAGCCAGTCTATTGTCATCTTAACCGTTGAGAGAGGTGACAAACGAGGCAGTGTCACTTACTTCATTTGCTTCGCCTCTGTTGAAGTTCGGCTCCGCCTTAAATTGTCATATTAAATTTTATATTATGCTCCATATGCTAGCATTTAGTCTTCGTTGCCGAAGTAGATGGGAAGTTAGGGAACCAGGATAACTTTGATCAATATCACTTGTCGAATCATTAAATTACAAGTTACAAAGCCTAAACCATGCTCACAATCAAAGAGGCGGTTCTCACTCAACCGTTAAGAAAATACAACAAACCGGTTACGCTACGGCCTGTAAGGGGAGATCACTGTAAAACAGTTTGTCCTCAAAATCATTCGAACATTGTGCAACTCGTACCATGTTTAAATGTGTATATTATCGAACATATTGTCTTGAATTTTCTTCAATAACTTTAATAAAAGCTGTAATCAACTGGTAAAAGACAGACAACTGTGACAGAATTTCATTCTCCACGTGTCAAAAAGATATATGGAAAGGCAACAAAATCTAAAAAATCATTTTTTTTTTTGGCAAATTGATAGATTGAGGGGGCGCGGGCGAAGTTTAATAAATGAAACTTCGCCCGCAAGGATTAAGAAATGAAAAGGCGGGGCACCCTCGCCATTTTTTTTAAATTTATTTTTTTCTCTCATACAGTAATAAAGTGTACATAACATATAATTAACTTCTGTCCAGATAATACAAAAGCATGGTCACAAAGAGTTTTTTTTTGTTTTTTTTTTCACACACAAACACGCACACGCAAGCACACACATCCGCACCCATACACCCACATTTACAATTCATAAATACCAACAGGATTTATAACTATACATATTTCGAACATAACGCACACACAAAACAGCACACATACATTTCGGGTACCATCAGATATACGATACTCGTATTGGTGTAAACTAGTATTTAAACAATAACAAAAAGGGAAAGTAAAGTGGATGAAATTTAAATACAAAACAACAAGAAAAAACAACAAAAATTTACAGAAGATACATCGACAGTTTTTGACTGCTTTTAAACATAATTGTTTTATATTTCATGTAAGTAAGATATTTTCATATGTTATATATTCGTATATGGGAAAATTCTATTCCATTTTTGAAAATTAATGTCCAGTTTATCGCGATTAAATGCAATACATTTTTCAATACATATTCTGCTCCGAAAATAATGTAAAAATAAGTTACATTTAGGTGTGCGTTTTCCTATTTTGAAACTATATATGTAATATTTTGCCACCAGAAGAATAAAGTTCTTTGCACCTTTTTGTGTATCTGTGTTTGTAATTAAGTGCGATATTGTTTTCAAGTTAATTTCTATAATTATATTCTTTTCTTTGAAATGTTTTATTAAATCACTCCAAAAAAGTAAGTTGCGTGTAAGAAAACATTGCCAAAGAGGTGTTCAATAGACTCAATATACATTGCACAAAAATCACAAAGACTCGAGGCAGAAAGGCTTTGTTATAGGAGACTTGTTTGTAGCAATAATTCTGTGTAGATATTTACATTGAAAATTTCTAAACTTAGTGTCAATCGTTGTTGATAGAATGTTTTGGTATGTTCTTTCCCAACATATATTTTCGTTTTCAAAAATATATTTTCCCACTTATTTTCTGCATTATTTTAAGTAATGTTATCTTGTTAATTTGTCATTCAATAAAATTTATAGGTGCAAAATAATTTGCGAAGGGTTTTTACAGAATAATTTTTACAAGTATCCAAACGTTTTCCTTACAGGAATCCTAACCATATCTTTTACTTACAAGTTTCTTTCAATTTTAAACAATAATTAAATGGTTCAAATTGTATGAAAATATGCTTAAGTTTTTTTTGGGGAAAAAAATCTAAAAATTTTAATAAACTGATGTTCATATAGAAATTTTTTAGTTTCATTTGTTTTAATAAATGACGCTAAAATATTTTTATTTTGGGTATTGATATTGACGTTGTCTGGATTGATATCTATACATAATGACGTCAGAATGTATATTTCTTATTTAAGTCTGATATTTGAGGTAATCTTCATCAGGAATTTGATAAATTGTTTTAAAATTTTCAAAAGTGTAAAATTGATAAATAATAAAGTCAAACAAATGTTCCAAATACACAAAACCCTTTTCATACCAAGACTTTAGTAGAATGATTTTTCATTTGATGTTATTTTCATATTATTTCAAATTATTTGTTTATTTGGGTTGTTACATTTTGGTATAACTTTATTTGGTTCCACTATGAAATTACATCTCTAAAAAAATGATACCTTTTAAATTTGCTTTATATAGCTTTGTCATTTATTTCGCATTCAAAAAGTAACTTGCCTCTGTATCTGTCTAATTTAGATATGTATATCGATTTTATTAAAGATGAAATCAAACATACGTTTCTCTAAAGTGTTTATAATTTTCAAGCTAGGTAAAGGTAATACTGATAAAGCATAGATCAGTTTTGGTAAAGCAAAGGATTTGATGATAGTAACCTTTCAAAAAAGTGTAAGTTTTCGGTGTTGCCATTGCTTTAAACAAATTTTAAAAGCACCAATTTTAAGTTCTAAATTCTATTTAAAATAGAGTTTGTTCAAAATGTCATACCTAAAGATTTTGCATTGTCAGAAGTCCATTGGAAATTTCGATTTCGGCAGTATTTAGTTTCGGAGTGTCTTATTGAGCCTACTTTTAATACGTTACTTTTCATTCAAGTTTAGGCCTGATATTTTGTTGAAATCATCGAGTATTGCAATTAATGTTTCGAAAGATTCTTTTGACCAATCAGTTACAAAATTTGCATCATCCGCAAATAACACATTTTTAATCTCGATTCCATTTATGTTGCTGCCTTTTATTTTTTATGCTTTCATATGCAGTTTGAAAGAAGTTTGACGCATACATTAAATATATACGGAGAAAATGGGCATCCTTGACGTACAGCTCTATGTATTTTAAAGAAATCTGACATGTGTCCGTAAGTGATAACACAGCTTTGTGGGTCATTGTATAAAAGTTTTATCCATTGGATTATTGTATTACCAAAATTAAAAAATTCAAAAACTTGAAAGATGAAGTTATGGTTGATTCTAGCTTTTTCAAAGTCTGTAAAAAAGTGCATCTTGGTCCTAATTTTCCATTTGTTCTAATACTTCAAATATCGTCCGTATAATTTCTCCAATGTATCTATCTTTAATGAACCCAGATTGATTTTGACTGATGATTAGAGATTAAACTTTTTTCATTCTATTTGCTATAACGTTTGGTACTATTTATAGTCAATATTTTAAATATTTTGGACGCCAGCTTTCTAAGAAAAGAGTATGTTTGTTTCTTTTTGGTAACAGCTAGAGTGATGATACTTTGTTATGAAGTTCAATCAAATTTTTATTTCAAATGAATGTTTAATAGAGTTAATGTAGTAATATTTTATATCATTCCAAAAGATTTTATAAAATTCTGTTGTTTATCCATCTGATCAAGGACTTTTATTATTATTCATATTTTTAGAGCTGTTTTTCGAGTACAGTACGTTCGCTATCTAGAGATGTCCGTTGTTTATCACTTACTTTAGGTAAAGTTGGATCCATAAAATTAAATTAAGTTGTTTTTTGTTCAACCTCTTTATACAGATGTTTGTAGAAGCGCTTCTGCTCTTCTAATATTATATTTTGTTTTGAGATTATTCGGCCACTTACTTCTATTTGAATCAACACCTTTTTTTAAGAATTTCTTTTTTCTAAATTTTCAAACAATTTACTATTTTTCTCATTACATTCTACATTCAACGTTTTTGATCTTTCTATTATTCCATTTATCTTCTTATCGTACATTTCATATAACTCTTCTTTATTTTATTTCTATTTCTGACTTTATTTTTTTAATATTACTGTTTAAGGAACAAGAACTCAATGTTTGTTCCATGTTAATTAATGTTAAATTTATTTCTTTTTCCTTTTTGTCATCATTTTGTTTGGTTTTACTTGCAAACTTTATAGTTTCGTTTCTAATATTTCCTTTCATTATTTCCCACATTGTATTTGGATTTGCACCTGCATTTATCATAGCGGTTTCTCCAATAATATTTCGTATAACGTTTTGGTATTCATATTTAAGTAGACTGTTATTAATTTTCATTGTCTGTTCAAACTCAATTGCTATTAATCTACCACAAACTATTTCTGTATATGTTTTGTTTTTGCAATCGAATTTGCTGTTAATTAAGATGCATACGCCAGCACTATTATTAGTATTTCCACTGTAAAAAGCCCGTCCATCCCATTCTGATGTCCATTTAAGATATTGATTTGTGTTTAATGCGTTTCTTGTAAAAGACATTTATCATACTTTTGTAAATTTAGCCAATTAAAAAAATTGCTTTCTTTTCATATAATTTCCCAAACCTCTTACATTAAAAGTACAAATTTTCATACTCAGTTCAATTCAATCTGAAGCTTACGTTCAAGAACAGTAGCTGATCTTATATACAAGAGGGCCATAATGGCCCTGAGTCGCTCACCAGAAACAACTGCTTTTCAGTGTTGGAATGTCAATGTATTCTCATATTAAACTTAAGCCTAGAATATGTTAAAACAATAATTTGAAGAAATGCCATGACCTGGGGCATTTAAGCTTTAGCTTAAACGGGGCTAATCAAATTAATATGAGCAAACTTGATAAAAGACTACCTAAGAATGCTACAAAGTTTGTTGATCATCTATCAATTGTTTAGGAAATGATGTTTGAAGGTTTTTTTCTATTTTTAGCTTTAGTGGACCCTAAAAGGGGCTAATCAAATTAATATAAGCGAACATGATAAAAGACTACCCAAGAATGCTACAGACAAAGTTTGGTAATCATCCATCAATTGGTGCTGAAGTAAGAGATATTTAAAGGTTTTTCTATTTTTAGCTTTAGTGACCCCTAAAAGGAGCCACTCAAATTAATGTGAGCAAACTTGATAAAAGATTATCCAAGAATGCTACAGACAAAGTTTGGTGATCATCCATCAATTAGTTCTGTAGAAATGGACATTTAAAAGTATTTCTATTTTTAGCTTTGTCTGCCCCTAAAAGGGGCCAATCAAAATAATATTAGCAAACTTGATTGAAACACTTCCCAACAATGCTACAGACAAAGTTTGGTGATCATCCATCACTTAGTTCTCTAGAAATAGATATTTAACGGTATTTATATTTTTAGCTTTAGTGGCCCCTAAAAGGAGCCACTCAAATTAATATGAGCAAATTTGATAAAAGACTACCTATGAATGCTACAGACAAAGTTTGGTGATCATCCATCCATTAGTTCTGTAGAAATAGACGTTAAAATGTTTTTCTATTTTTAGCCTAGAGACCCCTAAAAGGGGCCAATCAAATTAATATGAGCAAACTTGATAAAAGACTACCCAAGAATGTTACAGACAAAGTTTGGTGATCATCCATCAATTAGTTCTGTAGAAGAAGATGTTTAAAGGTTTTTCTATTTTTATCTCTGCTGACCCCTAAAAGGGGCCAATTGGAATGACATGAGCAAATTCAAGTGTGACTGTCACAAGGATGCTACAGACCAAATTTGAAGTAAATCTGCCAAGCAGTTTCAGAGAAGAAGATGATTGTTGACGCATGACGACGGACGACGGACGCCGGAGCATCCCCCTTTGATACTAATAGCTGGCCCTGAACCTTCGGCTCTGGTGAGCTAAAAAAGCGTAAGAGACAAAAATATATTGTTGAATATACAAATAAAGATCCATCATGTCGTAAAATAATCAAACAAAACATCATAATCATATATTTACACACGCACGCATGCACATGGACACATACACGCACACTCTCACACCCATTAAGCCAGTTTTGCTCGTAACATAAAAGCATGATTATATTCAGATACAAAAAAAACCATAACATTTATATGACACATCTATACATAAGATAGTTAAGCAAATGATATTTATTGATTTTCTCAAGACAAAGACATCAAGTATTATGATAATATATTATTTTTAAACATACAATGTTTTTTTGTATTTGATTGTGTTAACTTAATCAGTAAAAAATATGGAAGTACCAGGAGAATTCAACATTTAGCCTCATTTTTCTCTACGTATATTTCGTGCGTGAATCGCGTGCAAAGCTACATTATGATACGCTTCAACTCTTTATCTTTCCAACGGTGTATCATACATGTTTCCCAATACACACACGTTTTAAGAAATTTAGTGTTGAAAGTTGAATATTCGATCAACTGCGTATAAAAATGGCTGGAAAAGATTCAGAAAATAATGTTGAAATTCGAGCTTACATCAAAGCGCGTATGACATCTGGGTTAAGTGTTGCAGCCAATCATAAAGAACTTTGTCGTATTTATGAACCATCTGTGGTTAGTGAAAGGACAGTTTAAAGATGGATTGTTAAGTTTAAAAGTGGTACGGCGTCACTAAACGAAGGTAGGGGTAGAAAACACACAGTGGTAAACAAAAACAACATTAAAAAGTGCAAAAACTCATAAACAAAGAAGCTCGATAGACAGATTCTGAAATAGCTTAGTAAACTGGCATTTTAACGGAAAGTACATTTACGATTCTAAAGAAGCACCTCAAAGTAACAAAGATTGCAGCCTGACGGATACCACATTTATTGACTGAAAAGCAAAAGCAGGAGCGTGTAAAATGTTCCAAGAAATTATTGAAGATGTGTCCCAAATATAACGATCGTAATTTTTCTAACATTGTAACTGGTGACGAAAGCTAGTTCCACTTTTTTGAGCCCACACGGAAGGTTAATAATACGATATGGGCCACCAAACATACCCGTAGGCCCTGTATAGCTAAAATAATGACTAGCACAAAGAAGGTTATGTATGCCATGTTCTTTGGTATACATGGTTTAGTGACACAAGTTCCTATTCAAAAAGGTCGTACCGTTACTGCAAAGTTTTACAAACGAATAGTGTTAAACAAAACTGACAAATTTTATCGCAAATGTCGTCCAAATACTTGTATGAGAGGTCTGTATGTACTCCATGATAACGCTACTCCACACAAGGCAGACATTGTTAAGAAATTATTGGAGTGCAGACGTGTAACTGTGCTTAATCACTCACCATACTCGCCAGATTTGGCACCCTGCGATTTATTCCTGTTTCCAAGATTAAAGAAAAGATTAAAGAAAAACCTTCAGGGTGGCCGTTACAGGACCAGAAATGTACTTGGTTCAGCATTACATCAGTTGTGTAGGGGTATACCTCAAGAAGACTATGAAAAAGCATTTCAAAATTGGATCAAACGTTGAAACTCTGTATATTGTTCAAAGTAATCTAAGTAGATTACTTTGAAGGTTTAAAAAAAATAAAATTCGTAGTTGCTTTAAAAGTTTTCATTTTACTATAGCCCCGACACTAATTATTGAATACTCCTCGTACAAACGACAGACAAACGACTTAAACAATGATTTAGTAATCATTGTTGAACAATTACTCTCTCATTAAATAACAAGTTTTAAAATGAATAAGTGTAAAATCTTAATTAAAAAGATGAAAGAAGTCATCATTTGAGCCTTATTCTTTATATATTGAAATTAATATAATTGTGTAACAGCTAAAACAACTATGACAGAAAAAGACTGCCCTTTAACATTAATGAGTTTTTTTAACAAGTACTTTTTATACACAAAAGAAACAACACAATATTAAACAGTGACAAAAAGCCAACAATATGTATGTAATCAATTTTTACCTAGGACAGTTTTGCAAATGATATGTGTTGCTTTCATCAAGATAAAGATATCAAATTTAATGATATTATAATAGTTTTAAACATAGAATGTTTTGTGTATTTTATTATGTTAACTTAATCTGATGCAATCATGGAGGTACAATGATAGACAAAAGACAAAGAAAAATGATTTAATGACCTTTGTAGACCAATTTTACTATAGTAAGATAACGAGTTTCGAATGAATATGTGTATAGTCAAAATAAAAAAGAAGGAAAAAAATAATCATTTCAACTCTATTCTTTATATTGTGAAATAAATAAAGTGTATCAGCTAAGAAAAAAATGACCAAAATAGTAAACCTGTACATAACGAAATTCACTTATAATGATGATGCTTTACTCATACCAATTATGATTTTATAGCCATACCAATCATTCATTAGATAACAAGTTTCGAATGGACAAGATTAAAAAATAATTTAATTTAATAAAACAAGGAAAGAAGATCATCATTATTTTTCTATATTCTTAAATCAGTTGTTTTCATATTGTGTGCTTACAATAAATTAATGAAAGAAATTCTGTTAATTCTATTATGACTAAAGCTTAATTAGCAAGTTTTTATATACTTTTTCAAAGGTCAGCATTGCCATATGTGTATAAAGATATATTATATTCTAATCCCCATTTTAAGTTGATGATTTGTTTACATACAGTATAAAAACACTATTTTTTTACTACTGAACTTTTGGGTTAGAAAACTTGCACTGCCTTTGAATAAAATGTCACATTTTTACTTTTTTTAATCATCAAAAAAGCCATAAAGTATGTTTCACTTTGACACTTTACAAAACAAATCTTACAAATCCTAAAGACAATCAAACAATGAATGTTTTTATATATGAATGACAGTTTACAATAATAATCCAATAAAGACACATAATATATCGTATAACAATTTTACAAAGAAGAAAAAAAACAACAAAAAAAAACCTTGAAGTACCTCACGATAATAATTAATTGCAAGGGTTTCATAATAAACCTTAATCGCTCAGCAGATACTTTTTAAAAGGTAACGGTAGAAAACTGACCCTTGCGCAGTCCCATTATCACTTTTGTAGAAGAATACTATGCCACAGGCTATACTATGGGACATAAATAGGATCAAAGATAATTTACTGTTACCCATTGTTCTCCAAGTCACACAAGTACCTCTGGGTTTGTACGGACGGGCAGACTCACGGACGGAGGGTTAGCCTAAAGTCCTCTTAAGTAAACCGGTAGAGGCCCAATAACTCCTGTGAATGTGTCAACAGAAATATTTTTTGTAGTTGTTATCACAATTTTAAATCCACAAAATATGACAAATACAAAATCAATACTGGGTATGGTCTGTTAAAGGGTATATTTCGTGAGCGATTAAGGCATGCGAGCGATTCACATAAGTAAATCAACAGAGGGACTCTTTCACGGGGGAGGAACTGTTACACGAAGGTCATAGAGTTCTTCTGATAACTTGCTTAACGTTGTTATGATAACTGACACGAAGTAGCTTGGTGTGTAAATAATTTTGTTTCGTAATTTTTTAGGTAACTGTCATTTTTTTCAGGATTTGGCTGTCAGAAAGCCCTAAATCTTTTAAGAATAGATTTAATATAAAACTGCTTTGTGTACAGTCTACAAAAGATAACAGGTGATAGGCTATCTTCAGGAAAACCTGAATCAGCGGTCACTTGTATTCAGCAGTAAAATGACTTAAACCGCCAAGCAAAAATTGTAAATTTTTTTCACTTTTTCCTCAGTTCCATGCTTTAAGCGACCGACTTTCTTAAGCAGACACTATATAGTTGGGCTTCCCTCAAGAAGCGGCTAAGTAATTTGTATCATTTTATACCATAAACAACAAGTATATAACCGGGATACCCTAAACACCTATGCAACCGAAATTTATGATCTATTTATACATAAAAAAATCAACCGATCACTTCCGATCTCTTCAACAGATTTGTACGTGCCCTAGACTTTATCGAGCGAAAGAAGTTCGACAATATATTTTTGTTATCAATAAGGGTTATATAAAGGGAATGTCCAAATGACTCCAACTTTAATAAGAATGATGAATCCAATAATTTTCTGTATATGAAGATTTCTGTAGGTCACGTGATGCTACATTGGATTTAATAGAGAAAGGAACAAGGCCAATAAACGGCATGAACCTAAAGGTGACTCACATCTATTATTTAAGACTTACTTTCTATTGTCAAATCATTGTCATAGAACTTTATACGTTTCTATAACTAAAACTTGACCTCTTTTTGAAATTAACATATCTGTTGAATACAAAAATATGACACCCACCTCAAATTAGATAGGTAGTGCATATTACTTCCTATTTGCTGCAAACAATTTACATGTAATTTATTTCGGCCGACCGATATCACAGTTACTTAATGTTCTCTTAAACTACCAGGAATAATGTATACATGAAGATATCATGCTTGAGTATTAAATTCAAAGCATTTTTTCCTGTAAGTCAATGCTCTACATCAAGTATGTTTTCAGTCATTCCAATAAAATGAACAAAAAAGTACTATGCTCATAATGATTTACACACTGATAAAATAGCTTAAACGTGCCGTTATTAAGCATAAGCAAATCACTGGCAGTAACAAAAGTTTTCATAAGAACTTCAGGACATATTTTGAGTTATCACAAGAACTCCGTGACATTTGACAAATCGGGTATAAACTTATTAGCCTGGGCTTAATGTTTGCAACTCTTCATTATAATTAGCCAATTAAGTAAAGAAACGAAGAAGATCACAAATGAAAAGGTCAATATGTTCGAATGAACAAGTTATTTGGAAATTTTACTCAAAACAACCAGATTTGTTTTTAAAAACGCGATGAAAAATGGATTTAAAAGTTTTTCTGAAACATAATACAATCTGACGGCAAGTTTAATTATCAAAGTTTGATAAAGCACCTCAAAATCCCCATTTAAAGGTAAAAATGACAATTTTTTTACGTGAGTTCTCCATGTATATAGAAAAGTTTTCCACAGAAATTCGTAACTTTTTCCAACACCTTCGTGACAGTTATCATAAGAACTCCAAACAAGTTATCATAAGAACTCCATCCTTCGTATAACAGTTCCTCCCGAGTGACTTTGTCTACACCGACCAATAGTGTCATATTGAAAGCATCTTCATGACTATGAGTAGTTTGTATATAATCTAGACACATGTATTGTGTAAAATTTTCATCTTCAAATAATAATTATGATTATAATATTAGGGGCGTCCGTTGCCGGTGGTTAAGTTTGTTGACATCAAACCACCTGCCCCTCACCGCTGCGGGTTCGAATCCCGACAGGGACTTTGGAGTCTTTCATTTGAGGAAGCTATCCAGCTAGATTACGGAACGTCGGTGGTTCTACTCAGGTGCACAATTAAGGCGTGCTACATAATATACCGATACTCTTAATTCTAGTATATATTGAAACATGCTTTAGTTTGTTTAATTAATTAAAAAGAAGTTTACTTTTTTATAGCTTAAATAATGTTCACAAACTTTTGGACAGTCATTATTTCATTTCATTTACTTGTATTTCTGGCAACCGTTTAGTTGTTGGTGTTCATTGCAGTTTCGATACCAGAAATGCGTTCTTCCAATTGTCTGAACCGTTCATCAAATCTATCGGAATGTGTTTCAAACATTCCTCTCATTTGTTCCAATAATGTACTGATTGTTGAATGTGTTGTGAATGGTTTAAATTGTTTTACCTTTAGTTCATCAAGTATAGCAGTTATTGGGGTAACATAACCCGTGTTATCTTCAGAAACTGCAACAACCATACCAATACATCTTAGAGTTGTTTCCTCTCCAGTATTATCCTCCATAAACACAAGAGCTCCAGAATCTCCTTGTTTACAAAATGGAATGTCCTTATCAAATGATTTGATATGGTATTGTTTATAAAGTGTAGTTGTAAATCTTAATTCTTCTCCCATGTCTAAGTAACTGGTAAATGGACATTCTCTAATGACACTATCATCACATTGCATAACTCCTCTTGTTTCCAATGATACGCAACCAAATTTTCTAACTTCTCTGAGACCATTCGGAATACCTGTCTTTCCCCATACTAGACCATCATTAAATTCTGAAATACATACATGATACACAATCATCGTGAGAACTGGTGAAGAGTATTTTGTAAAATAATAATTCTATCTTAACCGCTTATTAACCTTATGTTCCTTACAAAGACATGGTATCCGATAAATAGCATGTCAATAGGAGCTAAGTAGCAACGTAACACGTACAGGTACCTCCTTTTCGGAACAAAATAAAAAAGAGTACCATTTCATGACAATCAAGCAGATATTCAAATATCTGCAATAGTAATTGACGTCAATTATCACGTTGTAAGACAATTTGCTTGAATGACCTTATCATTTTCGTTGCTGTTACCTACCACCAATTCAGTTTACATTAACAAACTATATAAATACGCATAATTCATGACAAGAATTTTATTAAAGTGTATAAAGCTATATAAATCATAGTTGATACATGTTGTAAAGTTTATAGTTTTATACCCTTTAAATAAACACACATGTACTCGTATGTTATCCAACTGTTAAATTATAAACATTATATTTATTTCAGATGTATTTTATTTGATTATTTGATGCAACATGTATTAACCATAGCATGTTTATAAGACATTTATTTTGATCAGTAAAATAGTCTACTTTAGTTTTTATAAACTATATTTAAATTGTAGCATATGAAGTTAAAATACATTAATAAGAGAAAAGATATACTTGTGCATTGTTTAAGTATTATATATGTTTTTCTATATTGCTATGTATATATTGATAAAGAGTAAAAGGTAGTTAAATGAAATAAATTTAATCGGTATTTTTTCGTTCTAACACTTGTCTTTAAAAATACATGTATAGTGAAATGACACGTTAGTGTAATGACTCACGTTTATGACTTGCCAAATAAAAGAACTTAGCTGTTTTATTCACCAGTTGAGCACAAATTGTATTCATTAGATATTTGAATTTTTTTAGTAGGCCAAACACAATAATAGTTGGGTTAATTTTCTGTTCTGAGACCTCTATACTTATGATAGAACACGGACGTTTCCACAACATGACATTTTTACCCTAAGTACCACCTTGACCTTGGTGTTCCGCGAGAGACACATCTGCAACATTTATTGATAATACATCATTGAAAATATTAAAAACTAAAGATGATAAAAGACAAACACAATTTGACTCAAAGTCACATTGACAGTGAAGTTGAAGATTAAGGTTTTTCACATGACACACAATCTCTCAGAGATAAAGAGCAATTAATTTGACATAAATCATCCAAAATAGAGTATTTGTCAAACAAAATATATACTTTGATCTCCAAAAATGGCATTGACATTAAGGATGTGGACATGGGTTTTGCATTAACCACATAGTCTCGGTTGTGTTGACATACACCAAATATATTAACAATATAACAAAGTTATAAGCATGACGATATTTGGCCTTTGTCTTCAAAATACGACCATGAGACATGCGTCTTGCACGCAACACATTGTCTACTTACGATGGTCATGTGAACCAATATATTTTCAGTCCCATTATACTTGCAGACGTTATTCACAAAGTAGAGTGGAACTCAATGTTTTCCCTTCTTTATCTTATATAAAACTCTTTGTTTATAGCTACATGTACACATTAAGGTCCTAGCCATCCATTTATCACAGTAATTAAGTTGTTTATAGCAAGTAACATGCTTTTACACCTTGGCACGCTAGATTTGCAGATAGAAACGCAACAATACGGCTCAAGCATGACACGTATTTATTGAACAAGTTATCAAAAATCTACGTTCTTTAGTATAACCAAGAATTAAATCAGATAATTTGTGTCCATTATATAATATCAATGGCAAGATTTATAATTTTTTCCTTATTTGAGTGTAAAAGCACATTTAACCCATAACCATACATTTAGTTATACTGAAATACATGCTGTCAATTAAATACTATTTATAAATATTATCTTGTTTAATCATAATACCCGTTCCCGAAATGAGATGCTTATTATTCATAATTACGGCATGTCAATTTTTACTACATTGAGGTCGAAAAGTGCAATTACATGTATGCGTTGTAAAACGGTCAAGCTGAAGTAGCATGTGACTTCAAAATAGATAACAAAACAAGCATCGGATTATTATAAATACATTTAAAATCCAACATGCATAATTCTGAATTTGTAAGTATACTAACGTATATTTTACAATAAATTTTTTGAGAATAAGAATTAACAACATTATATCTATTAAATCGTCAATATTTAAGATGTTCGTTTTATATTTATATCCGTTAAAGATAAAAATGTTTATAAGATACTTCTTGCATTGCTTATAAGAAACCTCGGATATAGCACATAAATATCATGGTTAGAAACAGTTCCTTATAACCGAATTTCATTATATATACTTTTTGAATCAATCACAGACACACGTTTGCACCCACGAACCCACCTGTCTACGCATATTTAAAATGCCCCCAATTTATAGAGGGATTATAAACAACAGCTGTAAGGGGAGACATGGACACTCGACTATTCAATTATTGGACGCAGTAAAGGAAGCCAAAACTATGAAACAAGAGGGCCATGATGGCCCTTATATCGTTCACCTGATTATTGAGGCTCTGAATTAATATTGTCAGCAATAAATGAAAGGTGTCCCGGACAAAATGCGGACGAGCGGACAAAGCAGCGACTCTGTACCCTTCCTTCGGGGAGCATAAAAAGTTAAACAGACATTTCTATGCTCTAATGGAAAAGACAACAATTTGAAATCTAAAGTCAATCCCTTCAGTATTAAAAATGATAAGAGCAAAACGTATATAAACATTTTTTAATTAAAATTGTAAATTCAAAGAAGCAATCACTCTTAAATAAAAATGTTAGAGTTATGAACCATGTCATTCATGATGTGAGCAATCACAAAAAACGACCATTATTTTAAGTCTAGAGAAGATACCATTTATAATAAAAAAGAACATTCTTAGAAAAAAATATAACAATTTTCAAATAAATTCCAAGTTCAAAAATGAATAGATATAAATCTGGAAAAAACAGAAGCTATCGTTAAAAAACATTATAACATACGGCAGAGATGATCATAAAAGAATAAAAAAAATAAGAGGAATATTCAAAGTTTAGCAGGGAGATAATTTCAAAAATATTGACGTTAGAGTTATGAACTTTGTAATACTATGATTACATGGGAATTGATATGAAACTTTAATTTAAAGTTGAAAGTAAATCCTTTGAAAAATAGATAGGTAAGAGCTAATATAACAACTAAATAAATCTAAAGAGAAAGAATATTTTATATTTTTCTTAAATATTCATGATAGAGTTATGAATCTTTAGGTTTGAAGGAAATATCTTAAGAAATAAAGAAGTTATAGTAAAAGGTACATTAAAAAACAAATCTAAGTTCAAGGGGGGTAATTGCGAAAAAATGTGCTTGAGTTAGAAATCTTGTCATACATCATGCAGGTGATGATAAACAAATATTTGAGGCTTGAAGTAAATACCTTTAGAAATAATGAAGGTACAGTAAAAACATTTTTGAGAAAATATCATATTCATGGAAAAATAATTCTGGAAATATTTTTGAACATCGTAACATATGATATGCTTAATGATAAGCGCAAACATATGAATTTTGAAGAAAATAGAAAGGAAGAGAAAAAAATATTTTTCGGGAAAAGTCTAGGGAAGGTAATTCTAAAAAATATTTCAACTGGAGTTATGATCCATGTCATTTAAGAATATATGTATGCTTAAAAAATAAAATTGATCGGATCAAAGCAATCCAATTCATTTAAAGCAAGTTGTGTATTATATATGTAAATATGATTTTTATTATATTTACCTATGTAAGCATTGCCTTAACGTCTCATATAATTCTGTTTTGAATGGCATTTGTACTTTTATCAGTTTTATTAATTTTGATGTATTTGGTGTTCATGTGATAAGACGAAAATAAACTATTTGAATTGAAATGAATTAAAGATGTGGTTGATGATAAAAAACATATATTTGAAGTTGATGCCTTAAGAAATAAACGAGAGCAATCAATGATCACATATATTGCCTCATGATAGCCAATTGCATGTTACAGCTACTGTGTGACAGGAGACAAAAATATCTCTAATATGGCTAAACGTATTTTAATGAAAAGCTCATCAAAAAATCATTATTCGCAAGTACTTATCAATCCTGTAATATGTCATTCAAATTACATTAGTAGTATAACAAAAGAAGCCCAAAACAAAAGTCCTGACTTTGAAAACAAGAAGGCCAAGATGACCCTAGATCGCTCACCTGACCCATGGAACTCATCCGAACAATTACCTACACAAGTATTCTTAGACCAAGTTTCATGGCAGGTTAGTTAAAAATGTGACCACTAGTGTTAACAAGAATGATCCATATTTGAGCAGAGTGACCTAGATTTTAACCCCGGGTCACCCATATTCGAACTTGACCTATAAATCATCAAACAAACTTTCAGACCAATTTCCAGGATATTTGGATTTAAACAGTAGCCACTAGAGTGTTAAAAAGATTTTTCTATATTTAGTTACTATGACCTAGTTTTACATCCAAGATGGCCCATGTTCAAACTCATCCGAGCAATTATCTAGACAAGCATCCTGATCAAGTTTGATGATAATTGAGTCATAAATGTGACCACTAGAGTGTTAATAAGGTTTTTCCATATTTGGGCGGTGTGACCTAGTTTTTTAAACCAAGTGACCCATATTCCAACTTAAGCTAGAAATCATCAAAACAAACTTTCAGAGCAATTTCCAGGATATTTGAATCATAATAGTAGCCACTAAAGTGTTAACAAGATTTTTCTATTTTTAGCTCCTATGACCTAGTTTTTCATCCGAGATAACCCATGTTAAAACTCATCCGAGCAATTACCTAGACAAGCCTCTTGAGCAAGTTTGATGATAAATGAGTCAAAAATGTGACCACTAGAGTGTTAACAATGTTTTTATATTTTAAGCTCCTGTGACCTAGTTTTTCATCCGAGATAAACCATGTTCAAACTCATCCGAGCCTAGACAAGCATCCTGGTTAAGTTTAATGATGATCGAGTCAAAAATGTGACCGCTAGAGTGTTAACAAGGTTTTTCTATTTTTAGCTCCTGTGACCTATTTTTTCATTCTAGATTACCCATGTTCAAGGTCATCTGAGCTACTACCTAGATAAGCATCTTGACAAAGCTTGATGATGATTGAGGCAAAAATGTGACCAATAGAGTGTTAACAATGTTTTTCTATTTTTAGCTCCTGTGACCTAGTTTTTCATTCGAGATGACCCATGTTCGATCTAATTTGAGCAATTACATAGACAAGCATCCTGACCAAGTGTGATGATGATCGAGTCAAAAATGTGACAGCTAGATTGTTAAACTAGAAATGTGTCATCATGCCACGGATGCCCCCGCATGCAGCCAAAATTTCAGATGGTGCATTAATTATTTTTTTTCATTTTAAGTTCAAAGCCCTTAAAATTTTTTAATGTTAACACAAACCATTTCATACAATGTTCAAGGCACTGAAATTATTCAGTCTTAACCTTTTAAAAAAAGCATATTGCATATTTGTAGCCAAAATAATGGCTAACAGTAGGTGTGCTGAAACTGAAAGTTCAAAATTTTTCCAACATTCAGGAAAGATAAGTTTGTCTAAAATCATTGAACCACGACCAAATTCAAACTTAAACTGCTTATTCCTAAGATGTATCTATATTATTTTCAAAGTGAAAGGGACATAACTCTGCCAAAAAAATCATCAAACCATGACCAAATTCCAACTTGACCTGCCTATTCCTTTGACATATCCATGTGTCAAATTTGAGTTGAATATGTAACACTGTTGGGTAGATAATGAACAGAAACTGTAAATTTCATATTATTTTAAAAGTGAAAGGGGCATTACTCTGCCAAAAATCATTGAACCAAGACCAAATTCGAACTTGGCCTGGGCATTCCAAAAACATATCCATATGTCAAATTTGAGTTGAATGTGTTGTACCATTTGGGAGATTATAAACGGAAACTGAAAATTTCATATTACTTTCAAAGTGAAAGGGGCATAACTCTGCAAAAAATCATTGAACCATGACCAAATTTGAACTTGACCTGCGCATTTCTTTGACGCATCTATATCTCAAGTTTGAGTTGAATGTGTTGTACCGTTGGGGAGATAATGAACGGAAACTGAAAATTTCATATTATTTTCAAAGTAAAAGAGCATAACTCTGCCAAAAGTAATCGAACCATGACCAAATTCGAACTTGGCCTGTATTTTCTCATGACATATCCATATGTCAAGTTTGAGTTGAATGTATTGTACCGTTGGGGAGATAATGAACGGAAACTGAAAATTTCATATTATTTTCAAAGTAAAAGGGGCATAACTCTGCCAAAAATCATGGAACCATGACCAAATTCGAACTTGACCTGTATTTTCTCATGACATATCCATATGTGAAGTTTGAGTTGAATGTGTTGTACCGTTGGGGAGATAATGAACGGAAACTGAAATTTCATAATATTTACAAAGTAAAAGGGGCATAACTCTGCCAAAAATCATCGAACCATGACCAAATTCGAACTTGACCAGTATTTTCTCATGACATATCCATATGTAAAATTTGAGTTGAATGTGTGCAACCGTTCTTAAGATAATGAACGGAAACTGATGATGACGGAATGACAGAAGGACGGAAGGACGGAAGGACGGAACAGGGTAACACTATATGCCCCGGCCATTACATGGCGGGGGCATAAAAATAGATAAAAACAGAATCCTTAAAGAAAGCCCAACACGGCAAAATTGAAAAAGTTGCAGGCTCGGTTTGATTGAGCCTATTGATAGACGGTACTGGAAAGTGCAAGTTACCGTCCTCGCCCCTAGCACCGGCTTAAGCAGAATTCAACATTTAAACATGAAATAGTAAAATTATGAATTTAGAAACATTCGCAGATGTGTTCATACGGCGGTTATCATGGAACCTTCAATGTGACACTTCCGTGCCATTCCATGAAAAGCGGCGTATGGTCCCCAAGTAATAAAAAGCGTGTGCCCTAAACGAGAAAACAATGGGCGGAACTAAATAAAAACAATATTATTCTATCTTTAGCTCCTGTGACCTAGTTTGTCATTTGTTATGACACATGTTCGAGTTCATTCGAGCAATTACCTAGAATAGCATTTTGAATAAGTTTGATGATGATCGAGTCAAAAATGTGACTGCTAGAATGTTAACAAGATTTTTCTATTTTTAGCTCCTGTGACCTAGTTTTACATTCGAGTTGACCAATGTTCGAACTCATCCGAGTTATTACCTAGATAAGCATCCTGACAAAGTTTGATGATGATTGAGGCAATAAAATGACCACTAGAGTGTTAATGAGCAAGTGTCGACAGACTACAGATAACGGACGACGGACATTCAACGATTGGAAAAAACTCACCCTGAGCTAGATCAGGTGAGCTAAAAATCATTGGACCGGAAAATGTAGATGACACGCACAACTTGACTTTGTACTGATCATGGATGAAATTGTACAAGTAGATTTTAGGGAGTAGTCCAGACAATTTTGTGACAGATAGACAGACGAACGGACAGACAGACAGACAGACAGACAGACTGAAGGCCACAAAAAAGTTATCCATATAAGTTGTGGTTACTTGTTTGCCTGTATCAGCTTCTGTGTAGCTAGCAACACAAAAATTTAAAAAAAAACAGGCTAAATCACATTTTTATTCAAGGGACATACCTCAGGCGAAAATCAACAAGCGGAAAAATCTTTTAAAATGTACAAGCATTTTGAGCTAATCATCAAACTTATAAAGTTTCAATTTAACTGCAATAGTGGTACCAGAGGAGTAGTCCGGCAAACTTTTAAAAATAAAAAAAATAAAAGATCAATTTATATGAAAGAAATTCTTGAACCAGAAAATACCGAAAAAATGACTAACTGTATTTAGTACTGATCATTCCTGTTTGTTTTGTTTGTTTGTTTGTTTGTTTTGGGTTTTACGTCACATCGACACAGTATAGGTCATATCGCGACGTTCCAGCTTTACTGGTGGAGGAAGACCTCAGGTGCCCTTCCGTGCATTATTTCAGGCACGAACGAGCAACTGAGTAGAACCACCGACGTTCCGTAAGCTAGCTGGATAGGATCATTCCTGTAAAGTTTGGATGACATTTCACCTCTTATTTCTGAGGAGTAGTCCAAACAAGCTTCTATTTAGCTGGCAACAAATGAACAGACCAAAAACATTTTTCATTCAAGGGTCAAAACTTAACCAATTATCATTCAAGAGGAAAACCGATGTAATATTTGCAAATAGTTTAGCTACCGATCAATCCTGTAAAGTTTCATTAAATTCTTTTACTGGTATAAGAGTCATTGTCTGGACAAACTTCAAAAATGAAAAATTTTAAAGATACGTAACTCTGGCATCTCATTGAACCGGAAACTGCCGACAACTAGACCTGGTACTTATCATTCCTGTAAAGTATTGGTGAAACTGCTTTAGTACGTTTTTAGGAGTAGTCCAAACATGTTTTGTAACGGATTGTTGGACAGACAGACAGACAGACAGACAGACGGAGAAGTGATCTCTATATGTCGCCTCTACATATATATTGCCATAACACTTTAAATGCGGTAAAAAGTATAGTAAAAATTATTTTACTGCACAAAAACATTAAATTGAAATGTGGACGCTGACGAGGATCCGGACGCCGATGCGAGTTGGACATTTCTCCATATACTTTGTATACTAAGGCGACCTAAGGATAATATATTAAGATATGTCTCTAATTCAAGTTTTAAACTCTGTATAAAACTCACCAGGAAATTGTTCATCAGGAAATTGTCCTTTCATAGGTGCACGTTTTTCAATCTTGAACAGCGCAAGATCAACTCCTGGTTTATCGTTCTCTCCTTCCTTGTATGTAATTTGAATAAGTTGTCCCAGTTTATTTTGAAATTCTGAGACATCCGGTTGGTGTATCGTGACATTCTCGTTTACTACGTTTTTTGTTGAAATTCCTTTGATGGTAAATTTTTCAAGAGCAGTCAAAAAAACGTGGGCACATGTGATTCCACAAAGACCGTACTCAGGATGTTCTATAAAGCCACCAAGTGTTCCATATTTTTCAGGGAATTTGGAAGACGTTATTTTACAACCTATTGTTGCACTTTTTTGAAATCTTTTCGCGACATTTACGCATAAACGAACTCCACCTTCCCTTACATCGACTGGTATTCCATCTAATTCTGTAGGAAAATATTCCTCATTCAGTGGAATAATTCCTTTAACCAAAACGTTTAAAACGATGCATGGGCGTTTCTCTACTTTATGTTCATCATATTTGAAACGTTTAGATAAAACTGATGATGCGGATATAGCAGAAAGGAATTTGTGATCGCGCATAAGTTTCTTAGAGTGTCTGTCTATGATTTCTGCTATTTGTTGTGACTCTTTCTCTTTCAGCGGACTGTTTTCTGCGTTGTATAACACAACATGACTTTCATTTGAGTAACTGTTAATGATTCTTATTTCTGTTTTCCAAATCGAATGTATTTCAATATTTTTTTCGGCAAATACAAGAAATATAACATGTTTATCGTCTTCGAATTCGTAAGCTGCTTCAACATGTACGATATCTTTAGATTTGTTTTTGATCACTTTACATATTCTTTTGCATTCCTTGAATACTTTCTGTGACATTCTTCCTTCTCTAAGCAAAAGTTTGGTTAATTCAGAATCATTCAAAATTTCATCCTCCTGAGAATCTTTTGACCTGATTTCTTCATCTATAAAAATGAATTTTTCAGACTTTACATTATGTTATTTCAAACATGTGTGTTTTTAAATACGATTGGATTTGTAAATAAATGGGATCAATGTCATATTTCAGCATGTCACATGAAAGTCAGTGTGCATATGGTGTCTTATGTTCAGACACATCAGACACAAAAGCCATTGTATTATAACAAAATAAAAGCATTCTTATTTGAAAAATTTACATATTTCCTGTATTAAACTTTGGATACTTATAGTTATTTCTCTTCAACATTTTATTTTCATTTAGCACTGCCTATTTCTATAAACATAAAAACATTAAACTTTTACCATTTAAAAACATCATGATATACTTGGTGTGAATTATAACAACCTTATAATGTGCTGAAATCATTTCATAAATATATCGAAAAGCAAACATCTCTCTTGCTGGAGATCATGACCTCAAACGTTCATTTCTTAAAAAACAAAAAACTCTCTTGCTATAGACCTTTATACTAACTCCCAGCTATTAAATCTTTTAGAAGAATAATTGCATTTCATGTACACACGTATGACAGACATTCCAATATGAGTTGTTTCTATTTCATTATTTAACTATGATTTAAAGAAAGGCCATGGCATCCTTGGACAGGGACAATTTTGACCAAAAAGCTTTTATTTGAAAAATCTTAAAAGTGATTTATAAGACAATGTTTCATGCTAAATATCGAAGCTGTAGCCTTGTAGTATTGTAGAATTCCTGTTGTAAAGGAATAATTCTTGCAAGGTTGGTTTAAATCTGACTTGTAGATTTGAAGATCATTTTTTAAGTTCACACGCACACGCACACACACACGCACACACATACACACACACACACGCACACACACGCACGCACGCACGCACGCACACACACACACAGGCGAATCGCTATATGACGCTGCGCTGTCATTTAAATGTTATCGTTATGATTTCCATTCCTTAAAACAGTTGTAATGCTATTTATTAGATTTAAAATTAGAAACTACAAAGTCTAGATATTTCAAACCTCCCACTTTCTTGCAAAATTTTGATACCCTAGATAATTTCTCATGCAAATATGCCATTTAAATATATCTTAACATATTAATTAAATAAATTAACGTAGGGTCTAAAATTATCACAAAAAGACTTTTGTTGAAATGAAAAGAAAGAAAATATCATTATCATTTATGTTTGAATGAAAAAAAGTCACATTTTAAAGCAGAGTAATTTAACATACAAACCTGTAGAACTTAATGCAAGTTTGCTGTCCTTTGACAGGGGTACAGATGAAGTTGACTTCTGTTAATATAGAGAATACAATACGAAGATGATAAAATAGTAAGCACCGCAAAGAAAGGGCCATCTCAACTACACTAGTATAGTAAAGTGTACTCCCAGAAAATATTATTTTCTTGTAATAAAAAAGTATTCAAATATCATATTTGTCATTGGGTTTCAATGCCATTCAAAGGTCAATTTTACATTTGAATAAATCATCATGTCTGTTTTTGTTAAATACACCCTTTGTCTAGGAATGAATCAAATCCATAAATAAATGACAAAGATTTGACAATTCAATAAAAGTTTAATAATATGACCGCCACAGTACGCCAAAGGTCATGTCATATCAGAATTATTTAACATGTCTGTTTTATAATATTTTAATAATCTCACCCTAACAATTATTGATCAAAATCATATCAGTTAAAAACAATATGTCGGTTTTGTCAAAATCATTTGCTCTTTTGTCAAAATACGACTCAATCTGTAATAAAATAACAAAGGCATGACAATTAAACCAAATTTAACCCTTTACCTCATATATACGCGTAACAACGCACTTTCGAACCCCCCCTTTTTTAGGCCTGAAATAGTGAAAAAATGTCCTATTCGGGCCCAAACACATGTTTCGTTTGAGAAATGTTGCTAAAAAAAGTGAGCACTTTTTCGGCGCGGCCCCCATCCAAAAGATACATCAGGGGGTTGCGAGAAGGGGGATGTGCCCTCTTCTGTTTTGGGGGTTTGAAGGGGGCGGAGTCCCCCTCATCGCCAAGAAAATTTTTGACTTGTGAGAGGCTTAAAATGACCCCAGGTCGATCAAAAGGTAACGTGTAACCAACGCTGAAAAGCCTTTGACTCTATCTCAATACCTTTAGAAGTTGCAGCACTTTAAAATAAATTTTGATGGAAAAAATCGAGACAAAATAGTGATTTTTGGCAATTTTGAGATGTCCCCTCGTTGCCATGGTAACAGGAAATTTAAAACTCAGCATATCGGTACAAAGGCAATGGTCCAGTCAACATTTGTGCCAAGTTTGATTAGTATTGAAGCATTTGTCATAGTTTCATAGCAGTTTGAACCTTTAAGAGGAGGCTTTTCAGTGAAAATGGCCATTTTTCACAATATGCTCATGGGGGAAAGGGTTAAATAATTTGACCTTGATGGTCAATCAAAGGTCACTGTCAGAATTGAAGCAAATTTAAATAACTTGATCTTGATAGGCAATGTCAGTCAAAAATAAAGGTCAATTAGAATGACTCGACATCGCAGTGTTTTCATATGTGTTCTTTTGTACATGTTTTTATCAAATATATACGTAAATAATAAAGTTATGACAATTAAAACAAACACATTTTAATAATTTGACAATGACGGTCAGTGTCAAATAAAGGTCAAGGTCATATTAATATGTTGAATTTGTCAGATGTTTTTTTTTGTCCAAATTTATATGAACTCTGTAAGTAAATTACAAAGTTATACTAAAGTAATTTGATCTTTAAGATAAGTGTCAATTAAAGGACAATCTTCTGAATTATTCGATATGCCGGTTTTGTCATAAGGATTCTTTTGTCAAAGTTTAAATCAAATCTAAAAATAAATAACGACTTATGACATTTGAAACTAATTTAATAATTTTACCATTATTGCCAAGATCATTTACAGTTAAAGCTCATGTTAGAATTAGTAAACATGTCGGTTTTGTTGAAATCTACAACAAGAGCGTATTTGGTAAACACAAATGCCCCCAGGTGCAGATACCTGCAACAATTTTTTGATAGAAGGTTTACCCAGTCACTCAGATATGAACAGAAAAATTGCCAAAAATGTAAACACAGTTATGATAATTTGTTGTTATGAAAAATATCAGTTAGCATGTCACTGCTATGTGATGAAATTGAAATAAATTATACTAACAAAGAACATCTATCAAATATAATTATTAAGTATATTTATGCATGACATTGATCTTGAACCGAGTGACCCAAAATTCCAAACTAAAAGTACCAACTGAGGAATGTTCCTTCTGAATATGAGAAATTGGTAAAAAATCTCAAAGACGGTATAAGAAAACGTGAAAAAGCCTATTCATAGCACACGTGACCTTGAACTTGTGACTCCCAACACTAGACAATCCACGGCATGCATGTTATTACCAAATAGGAAAAACATATCATCAATAAAAATGCTGTTAGAGGAAGGAAATAGATAAAATAAATGTTTATAAATCTTTAGCATCCCTGACCTTGACCAGACTGACACATTAATCAATTCAAAGGAAGAAGACCATGCAAGTTATCTTCCTATCAAATATAAAAAAAAACATCTATCATAAATAAAGGCTTTATTGGCAAAAGTGTAAAGAATCTATTTTAAGCACCAGTGACCTTGACCAAACTAATTTCTAGCTCAATCCAAAGAAGGAAGACCATGCAAATAAATTATCATTCTACCAAATAAAAAACAAGAGCACCGCTAGGCGGAGCATTATATGCCCGAAAGTGGTTTTTTTTAGTAAGGATGAAGCATTTGTAAGACATGGAATCCTATAAAATTTTACAGCTGTAGGTTGATTAATACTTAAGTTATTAATAATGACCTTAACCTTTGACCTTGTGACCCCAAAATCAATAGGGGTCTTCTACCTTATATGGACAATCATCCTAAGAAGTTTGAATATTGTCGGCCAATTGGAACTTAAATTATGCTCTAAAAACTGTTTTCAGTATTAAGGTAAAAGTGACTTTGACCTTGTGACCCCAAAATCAATAGGGGTCTTCTACCCAATATGGATAATCATCCTATGAAGTTTGAATATTGTGGGCCAAATGGAACTTACGTTATGCTCCGGAAACTGTTTTTGGTTTTAAGGTAATTGTGACCTTGACCTTTGACCTAGTGACCCCAAAATCAATAGGGGTCTTTTGCCCAATATGGACAATCATCCTATGAAGTTTGAATATTGTGGGCCAAATGGAACTTAAGTTATGCTCCAGAAACTGTTTTCAGTTTTAAGGATATAGTGACCTTGACCCTTGACCTTTTGACCCCAAAATCAATAGGGGTCTTCTACCCAATATGGACAATCATCCTATGAAGTTTGAACACTGTGGGCCAAATGGAACTTAAGTTATGCTCTGGAAACTGTTTCCAGTATCAAGGTAATAGTGACCTTGACCTTTGACCTTGTGACCCCAAAATCAATAGGGGTCTTCTATCCAATATGGACAATCATCCTATGAAGTTTGAACATTGTGGGTCAATTGGAACTTAAGTTATGCTCCGGAAACTGTTTTCAGTATCAAGGTAATAGTGACCTTGACCTTTGACCATGTGACCCAAAAATCAATAGGGGTCTTTTACCCAATATGGACAATCATCCTATGAAGTTTGAACATTGTGGGTCGAATGGAACTTAAGTTATGCTCCGGAAACTGTTTTCAGTTTTAAGGTCATAGTGACCTTGACCTTTGACCTTTTGACCCTAAAATCAATAGGGGTCTTCTACCTAATATGGACAATCATCCTGTGAAGTTTGAACATTGTGGGTCGAATGGAACTTAAGTTATGCTTCGGAAACTGTTTTCAGTTTTAAGGTCATAGTGACCTTGACCTTTGATCTGTGACCCAAAAATCAATAGGGGTCTTAAACCTAATATGGACAATCATCCTATGAAGTTTGAACATTGTGGGTCAAATGGAACTTAAGTTATGCTCCGGAAACTGTTTTCAGTTTTAAGGTCATAGTGACCTTGACCTTTGACCTTTTGACCCCAAAATCAATAGGGGTCTTCTACCAAATATGGGCAATCATCCTATGAAGTTTGAACATTGTGGGCCAAATGGAACTTAAGTTATGCTCCGGAAACCAAATTGCTAACGGACGGACGGACGGACGGACGGACGGACAGACAGACAGACGGACGCCAGGGGGTATAACATAATATGCCCTTTCGGGCATATAAAAAGTGTCAAGTAGGAAGTAAAATTTGGATAAACCTTTTGGATAAAAATAACAGTTTCACTCAGAGTTATATAAATCTAATATCGTTTTTTTTAAATTTCAACAGCATTGCAAACTTTGACCAAGCATGTGCAACATATCTCATTTAATAATAAATTAGTGTCAGAGTTTAGGGAGACAAAGAGGATTTTTATGTGTTGTTTAGAGGTGTAACTCTTAAAGAGACTAAAATTAAATCATTGTGAATATCCTAGTTTTGGAGGTATTGAAACTGCTGTTGTAAAGATATTATTTGCTCCATATAAGGCTGCTCTGCAGTGGTTGCTCAAGAACTTGAAGTGTTACTGTTACTCACAGGTAGATCAAAGGCGTTCACCTGGCTTATCACTGTATTGTTACCATGTGGAGATAGATCCCCGCCGTTCTCCTCCAACTTGAAGTCAAACGTTATATCAGTGTCTGATATGGGAGACAACTGGCTCCAGCGTTTCTGTACCGTTCCTTTCTGCTGTAAACTCAGCATTTCCACACCTGTCATATATAAACAAGGAAGTTAATCATCTTCATCATAAACAAATGGGATGAAAAGGGAAATAATCATTTTTTTAAGATATTAAAAAAAAGTAGATAATCATATTCATGACATGACATTTTAATTCACATTGGGAGGATCTGGATTTAAGCTATGACTGAAGCATAGATGTTAATTACTGGTAAGCTACAGGGTTGTTACTAAAATTCTAAAGCAGTCTATTTTGAATATAAGGCAGACATCTTAAGCTTAATTATGAACAACAAAAGAGTCTCAGGTTACTGAACATTTAGGTTTTCAGTGGCACCAGTAACAGTGACCTAATTTTAGCTCAAAATTCATTCATATCTTTGGCTAATACTCTGTCGACATTGCATATAGGAAAAGTATAACCACTTTGCCTTTCAAAATTAACCCTTTAAGGGCATGACTGGAAACATGTCAAGGGTCTGTACTCAACAGCGAAAGCTGCTTTTTGTGCTTTAACAGGCAGATGGAAACATACATATAAAAGAGAGTTTTCT